GCAGCCAAAGCACCTTCCTTCACAATTCCCTTTAAGTTATAAAAACAACCCGAAGGTGTATACCGGTATGACGAATAGCAGTTGGATGGGTAGACCTTTGATGCTATGCCTTTTAACCGTCAACCTAGGCCCAACCTGTACTACCCTTATATCCAGGATCACATGGTAAATTTTCCAGGTGTCCCGAATCACTGGTACGACCCATGGCACCTAGGACCCCCTAATTGCACACCAACTCCGATGTGCAGACACCCAGTCCGACCTCCTTTTCATTCATAAATTCTTGCGGTGCTGACGCACAAATAGATTTAGGTTATGGTGACATTTTAAGCCAGTTTGTAGTATCCCGCGACTTATTCACGATATTGCTAATTAATGCACGTTCCTTAATCAATAAGATATCTGAACTAAGGACATTATTATTAGTCGCCAAGCCTACTGTAGCTCTGATTACTGAGTCATGGTGCTCATCCTCTGTACTTGATGTGCATATAGGTATCGATGATTACACTGTACACCGTGCAAACAGAGATTGCAAGCGTGGTGGAGGATGTCTCATATATATACATAGCTCATTTGTAGTCAGTAAGGTGGAAGATGAAACAATGAATAATGTACCTGACTCACTCTGGGTTGTCTTACATGGAGATAAGTACAAACTTCTCATAGGCTGTGTTTATCGAGCACCAAGCTCAACAAAAGAAACTGATGCGTTATTAGCTAAATCGTTTGCACACGCATCCTCGTTTAGTGCTAATTACAAAATAATTGCAGGGGACTTCAATCTTCCAGAAGTCAATTGGCTAACTAGTTCCGGCCCCCAACGCTTCGACGAATTACTTGCCACTATAGACTGTTATGGATGGCAACAACACGTCCAGACACCTACTCGTGGTGACAACATGTTGGACCTTGTTTTTTGTCATGACACAATCCCAGTATCCACGTATGTTGGTAATCGATTTTCCAGTAGTGACCATAGAATGGTACTCTGCTCTCTGCCTTTCTCACCACTAAATACAGGAAACAAACAAGATTCAGGAAGCACAATATGTCGTAGTTACAAATATACAGACTGGGGATTAGTCCAAGAACTTATTCGACTCTGTCAATGGGATGACTATTTTACCACTGACTCCCTGGAGGCCTTAGTAACCCTGTTTTACAGGAATGTTACCCTTTGTCTAGATACAGTTGCTCCAAAGAAAATAGTGAAATTAAGTAGACACCGAACTGAATATATTCCAAGGGCACACCGTAATAAGTTAAGGAAGCTGAAGAAACAGTACTATTCCACTAAGGACATATCACTATTGCTCTCAATCCACGAGTCTCTTGAATCTCTCAAGCGCCTACGCTCTCAAAAGGACCTCGACGAAGAGTTAACGGCACTTGAAAGTACCTCCAAAGTTTATAACTTAACGGCACTTCTTAAAAAACGAATGCAGTCGGCGAGGGAAATCCCCTACTTACTTCACGACAAAGTAATCTACAATGAACCTGCCACTATCTGTGAACTCTTCAGTGATTGGTTTGCAAACTTTAGTTTAGAAACACATATGCCTGGTGAAACCGCTCCCCTTACTATCTCTTCCCTTGAAAGCATTGTGTTCACTAATCAGTTAATAGTACAAGCAATTAAAAGCCTTAAACCTTCCACTAGTACGGGACCGGATGGCCTAGCTTCGATAATTTTCAAAAACAGTGGGTGTGATATACCCTTGTTACTTCTTAAATTCTTCTCAATATCTATGGACACTGGCACTTACCCTAGTGAGTGGAAAACTAGCTTCATAATTCCACATTACAAATCTGGTGATAGGGCAAACGTCCGCAATTACAGACCCATAAATATAACCCCAGTTATCTCACGAATCATGGAGAAAGTTGTAAAAGATCAATTGTCAGACTACCTAATTAGGGAAGATCTTGTTACAAGGTCTCAACACGGATTTCTCAAAAATAGATCCTGCGTTACTTGCCACTTCGACTTTTTCAACTGCATCACTAGTAGTCGCGAAGCACGTAAGCTAGTCGTTGTTCTCTACTTCGATATATCTAGGGCATTTGACATGGTATCTCACAGTATTCTCTTTGAGAAGCTGTACTCTTGTGGAATTCGCAACCCATTACTGAACTGGTTAAAATCATTTCTAAGCAACAGGGTACAAATAACCAAAGTTGGATCTGTATTGTCTCATCCTAGGCAGATCTCAAGTGGGGTCGTGCAAGGTAGTGTCCTAGGTCCACTTTTATTCACAGTCTACATTAACAGCATTTGCAAGTGCTTCACCTTAGGCAAACCATTCCTATATGCTGACGACCTCAAAGTCGTCTACTCCTGCTACACTCATGAATTAAGCGATATGGTTACTAAAATACATCTTGAACTAAGTAGCCTTGCAACGTGGTGTGCTGAATCCTGTCTAAACTTTAACATTGACAAATGCGGCTGGATTTGTATCGGCAACAGTAACCTTGATCTAACTCTTGAAATAAATGGGCGAAAACTAGCTAAGCTCAACTCAGTCGTAGATCTCGGTATTAGATACTCTAGTAACCTAACGTTCGCTGAACAGACTGATTATGCCAGACGTAAAACACGAAGGCTGATAGGATGCATAACACGCAATTTCTTTTGTTGTGAAACTAGGGTTTTATTATACAGAGTATGTGTCCCACCTATCTTAGAATACTGCCCGTTTATTCTTAGCGGACTCAGACAAAATGACAAGCTCAAATCAGAGGGAGTGCAACGGCAGTTTACCTCAAGAACTCTTGGTTTAGAAAGTGGTCTGGAATACCATGAGCGATGCGAAAGACTAAGATTAGAACCCCTCTGGAAAAGACGTCTTAAGCCAAACCTTATCTTTTACTACAAGCTAACTAATCTTCTCTTGCATTCCTCCGAGCCAATAACTAAACCTACCGCTGTCATCAGTTACAATCTTAGAAATCATCACAGCCTAGCTGCTATGGAGCACTGTCAGACTTACATGCGGTACAACTTCTTCTTAAATAAGTTTTCAGTCATTTGGAATAGACTACCAGCTAATGTGCGCGATGCAAACACACTTCCAGTGTTCATCTCCTCAGTCATCAGACTGCTCAAAGATGACAATACACTTTTGCGCCTGACTCTTACACCTTCTTTTTCACCATACATAGATATTTTAAGTTCTTTAAACGTATAGTTACAACAAACTACAATTATAAATTTTAATATTATTGGAACTAGATGATAAACATTTCTACACAGGACAGTAATATTAATTCACACATAATATAAAAGTTAGCGTAACGGGACTAGTTAGTTAATGAACAAAAATAAGCATAGTTACAAAACAGAATATATATGTACATATTTATTAATCACTCCTTAAGGACTCCCGTTGCTTTCTTTTGAGTTGCTGTTGTTTGTCTACTTTTTTCTCTTACCATTTCAGCTTCTATTTGACTTTTTGAATGAGAATGAATAATGTGGATATTTGACCATTTACAATGACAAATGATCTGCAAACATTATTGGTCCCGTATCTTTCAGTTGCCTGGTTAATAACGAATTAACTTTCTCCACGACGCAACCTGGATTACATTTGTGGAATATACTCCTATACCAATGGAAAAGTATCTATTTGTAATACAACGTCACGATTGTAGCTTATAACATAACTGATCGTATCTGTAAAATAGCTTCCTTATTACCCAATTTGGATATAAATCAAATCAAAAATAAGATTCGGATTTGTACACACCCAAGTTATATTGAGGAATTACTTCAAGCCTCATTTTTTCCCAAGTATTTTTAATCCATCCAAAACATACTTGGGTTTTTTTGTTAATGCGAAGTTAATATTCCTATATTTCATGACGTGCTCCATTGAATGACTGGTTATCATATTGTTCCCACAGACCTAAGATAAAAACGCCAGCAACCATGTAACTTAACCATAAACCGAATTTATGAAATTTAAATAATGCTTACCCATGCCTGTATATTTGGTGTGTCCTACACAAGTAGGAAAAAATGTGTATTTTATTAAAACATTATTATCAATTATGATTGCTAATCGTATATGTAATTTATCATATTGATGATGCCTGTAAACTGGCGTCTCTCATGTACAAAATGAGAATATACTATTATTATTATTCTGCTTCTAACTCTGTCCGTTGGAACTGGAGCTCGTAGACGTAGATATTTAGGAATGATTTCATTTTTTAAGCATCGAATGTTAAAAATACAATGATTTTCATATCTTGCTTCAGTTTGTGAAAGTCGAGTGAGTTTATTGATAAGTCTTCGTACAGGAAGACCATAAGTCATGTTAATATATGTGTAAAACTAGGGCACTGTGGTATTAAGTAATTCCATATTAGTTTGATTATTAAATGTATCACACAGTGAAACAGTATTGTATACTGGATGACGTTTCGAACACAATTTATTGTTCATAATCATATCAATTTTTGTCACACGACTTCGAGATTTGATTTTTATAGTTTTCTCTGTCTTCTCCTATTTGTTGTATGGGCAGTAGAATTTTCCATATATCTGGGACAGGTGTTGAATCATTCCTATTACACGTATTTGTAGTTGATTCGATAAACAAAGCTTCTGTTATCAATCTCTCCCTATACCCTGTGACATTAGATTTTAAAACTGTCATCCTATCCCATCCTATTGTATGGTTGTGTGTAACTGCATATAGTGCTATAGCTGAACTACTCTCTAGATTTCTTATCTTATTCGGGTCAACCAATCTAGATTTAGCTAGGTTTTTATGTTCGGCTAGTCTGACTGCCCCTGTTCTACTAGTTTGACCTATGTATTTGACCTCACAATCATTGCAGGGTATTAGATAAACTAAATTGTTTTGTTTTAATGGCTCCACAGGATCCTTTAACCAACAAAGCTTGTTTCTAATTGAGTTTGTGGGTTTGAATGCCACTTTTATTCCTGCCTTGTTAAGATTTCTGAGTAAGTCTTTTAAAAGGCTTTCGAAATTGGTGACATTTTTGCACGTGTTTGCTCTGAAATTTATTTACTGCTTATTGTCATATAATTCTTGAAATTATGGTCCAAATCTCTAAAAAACGTGTTCGTAGAAACACAATTGTTTTAGATAGTGGCTTAAATTCGGTTATAACTGCATTACCGCCTGGTAATACAGTATCAACTACTAGCTCTCAAAATGGTTTGAGTGCAGATCTCACTCCTGTGATACAGGTGAAAGATGTTCTGTTAGAGAACTCTGAGTTCTGTAAACTAAACCTCCTTTTGAAAGATATGCAGAGGCAAGTAAGTGAAATTCAGAAAAAATTAGATCAGTTTGATAGTATGTCACTGCCAATCTCAAATACCACGGAGAGCCGTTCTGATATTGGCCAGGTTAAGTGTTTACTGGATGTAACTCAAAATAAGCTTTTGAATTTAGACCCAATAGCCTGTCTTTTAGAAAGGCATCCTAAAATATCTCCAGACAACCTAAATAAAGCTGAAAATCTGATTGACTGCTTGGCTACGGAGGTGATGAAGCGTATAACCTCTTCTCACCAAGCTATAGTTTACAACGTCCCAGATTCTCTGCCCCTGAAAACTGTAAGACACAAAATCCTGATTTGTTGCGGCATGGCTAGTGTTCCATGTGAATGCAAACGACTTCGTAAAAAGTCTAACCAGGCTAATTGCCCAATCATTTTTAAATTCAGTAATTCCCTTGATGCTAGTAAGTTTACTAAATGTCAGGATCACTTAAGACTGAATAGCAGTTATAAGTCTATAACCGTAGCTCAGGATAAAACACCGTGTCAGCGCAGAATAATGCGTAGTAATAACCTGGTCACCTCCTCTAGCTTTGATTTACCAAATAAGGATCGTGCACAGCAACAGACACCTAGTGCTGAAACTAGCATTCAGCAAACTACACAACAACCACACCTGCCAATGGAACTAGGAACTGATTTAGATACCAGTACCCCTGTAAATAAAGCCTCATCGAAAGATGTTAAAATGACTAGAACTTCTGCAAGTTGTTCTAAGAAATTTCCCCCCAAACGTAGTAACCTCACCACGATGAACAAATTTCGCAGGGTTGAGACTAATGATGGGGAAGAATACTTTGTATTCAATAAGCCTGCTGAGAGTAAGAATGCCAACAAACCATCACTTGTTACGAAAAACTCCTCTCGAAACATAAGTATATCTGGAGGTGTTCCGCATGCTCCACCTTATAGAAAGTCAGGCTCCAAGACTCCTAAAGTCTTGCAGCCAAAGCACCTTCCTTCACAATTCCCTTTAAGTTATAAAAACAACCCGAAGGTGTATACCGGTATGACGAATAGCAGTTGGATGGGTAGACCTTTGATGCTATGCCTTTTAACCGTCAACCTAGGCCCAACCTGTACTACCCTTATATCCAGGAACACATGGTAAATTTTCCAGGTGTCCCGAATCACTGGTACGACCCATGGCACCTAGGACCACCTCATTGCACACCAACTCCGATGTGCAGACACCCAGTCCGACCTCCTTTTCATTCATAAATTCTTGCGGTGCTGACGCACAAATAGATTTAGGTTATGGTGACATTTTAAGCCAGTTTGTAGTATCCCGTGACTTATTCACGATATTGCTAATTAATGCACGTTCCTTAATCAATAAGATATCTGAACTAAGGACATTATTATTAGTCGCCAAGCCTACTGTAGCTCTGATTACTGAGTCATGGTGCTCATCCTCTGTACTTGATGTGCATATAGGTATCGATGATTACACTGTACACCGTGCAAACAGAGATTGCAAGCGTGGTGGAGGATGTCTCATATATATACATAGCTCATTTGTAGTCAGTAAGGTGGAAGATGAAACAATGAATAATGTACCTGACTCACTCTGGGTTGTCTTACATGGAGATAAGTACAAACTTCTCATAGGCTGTGTTTATCGAGCACCAAGCTCAACAAAAGAAACTGATGCGTTATTAGCTAAATCGTTTGCACACGCATCCTCGTTTAGTGCTAATTACAAAATAATTGCAGGGGACTTCAATCTTCCAGAAGTCAATTGGCTAACTAGTTCCGGCCCCCAACGCTTCGACGAATTACTTGCCACTATAGACTGTTATGGATGGCAACAACACGTCCAGACACCTACTCGTGGTGACAACATGTTGGACCTTGTTTTTTGTCATGACACAATCCCAGTATCCACGTATGTTGGTAATCGATTTTCCAGTAGTGACCATAGAATGGTACTCTGCTCTCTGCCTTTCTCACCACTAAATACAGGAAACAAACAAGACTCAGGAAGCACAATATGTCGTAGTTACAAATATACAGACTGGGGATTAGTCCAAGAACTTATTCGACTCTGTCAATGGGATGACTATTTTACCACTGACTCCCTGGAGGCCTTAGTAACCCTGTTTTACAGGAATGTTACCCTTTGTCTAGATACAGTTGCTCCAAAGAAAATAGTGAAATTAAGTAGACACCGAACTGAATATATTCCAAGGGCACACCGTAATAAGTTAAGGAAGCTGAAGAAACAGTACTATTCCACTAAGGACATATCACTATTGCTCTCAATCCACGAGTCTCTTGAATCTCTCAAGCGCCTACGCTCTCAAAAGGACCTCGACGAAGAGTTAACGGCACTTGAAAGTACCTCCAAAGTTTATAACTTAACGGCACTTCTTAAAAAACGAATGCAGTCGGCGAGGGAAATCCCATACTTACTTCACGACAAAGTAATCTACAATGAACCTGCCACTATCTGTGAACTCTTCAGTGATTGGTTTGCAAACTTTAGTTTAGAAACACATATGCCTGGTGAAACCGCTCCCCTTACTATCTCTTCCCTTGAAAGCATTGTGTTCACTAATCAGTTAATAGTACAAGCAATTAAAAGCCTTAAACCTTCCACTAGTACGGGACCGGATGGCCTCGCTTCGATAATTTTCAAAAACAGTGGGTGTGATATACCCTTGTTACTTCTTAAATTCTTCTCAATATCTATGGACACTGGCACTTACCCTAGTGAGTGGAAAACTAGCTTCATAATTCCACATTACAAATCTGGTGATAGGGCAAACGTCCGCAATTACAGACCCATAAATATAACCCCAGTTATCTCACGAATCATGGAGAAAGTTGTAAAAGATCAATTGTCAGACTACCTAATTAGGGAAGATCTTGTTACAAGGTCTCAACACGGATTTCTCAAAAATAGATCCTGCGTTACTTGCCACTTCGACTTTTTCAACTGCATCACTAGTAGTCGCGAAGCACGTAAGCTAGTCGTTGTTCTCTACTTCGATATATCTAGGGCATTTGACATGGTATCTCACAGTATTCTCTTTGAGAAGCTGTACTCTTGTGGAATTCGCAACCCATTACTGAACTGGTTAAAATCATTTCTAAGCAACAGGGTACAAATAACCAAAGTTGGATCTGTATTGTCTCATCCTAGGCAGATCTCAAGTGGGGTCGTGCAAGGTAGTGTCCTAGGTCCACTTTTATTCACAGTCTACATTAACAGCATTTGCAAGTGCTTCACCTTAGGCAAACCATTCCTATATGCTGACGACCTCAAAGTCGTCTACTCCTGCTACACTCATGAATTAAGCGATATGGTTACTAAAATACATCTTGAACTAAGTAGCCTTGCAACGTGGTGTGCTGAATCCTGTCTAAATTTTAACATTGACAAATGCGGCTGGATTTGTATCGGCAACAGTAACCTTGATCTAACTCTTGAAATAAATGGGCGAAAACTAGCTAAGCTCAACTCAGTCGTAGATCTCGGTATTAGATACTCTAGTAACCTAACGTTCGCTGAACAGACTGATTATGCCAGACGTAAAACGCGAAGGCTGATAGGATGCATAACACGCAATTTCTTTTGTTGTGAAACTAGGGTTTTATTATACAAAGTATGTGTCCGACCTATCTTAGAATACTGCCCGTTTATTCTTAGCGGACTCAGACAAAATGACAAGCTTAAATTAGAGGGAGTGCAACGGCAGTTTACCTCAAGAACTCTTGGTTTAGAAAGTGGTCTGGAATACCATGAGCGATGCGAAAGACTAAGATTAGAACCCCTCTGGAAAAGACGCCTTAAGCTAAACCTTATCTTTTACTACAAGCTAACTAATCTTCTCTTGCATTCCTCCGAGCCAATAACTAAACCTACCGCTGTCATCAGTTACAATCTTAGAAATCATCACAACCTAGCTGCTATGGAGCACTGTCAGACTTACGTGCGGTACAACTTCTTCTTAAATAAGTTTTCAGTCATTTGGAATAGACTACCAGCTAATGTGCGCGATGCAAACACACTTCCAGTGTTCATCTCCTCAGTCACCAGACTGCTCAAAGATGACAATGCACTTTTGCGCCTGACTCTTACACCTTCTTTTTCACCCTACATAGATATTTTAAGTTCTTTAAACGTGTAGTTACAACAAACTACAATTATAAATTTTAATATTATTGGAACTAGATGATAAACATTTCTACACAGGACAGTAATATTAGTTCACACATAATATAAAAGTTAGCATAACGGGACTAGTTAGTTTGTGTACCAAAATAACCACAGTTACTAAACAGAATATATATGTATATATTTATTAATCACTCCTTAAGGACTCCCGTTGCTTTCTTTTGCGTTGCTGTTGTTTGTCTTCTTTTTTCTCTCACCATTTCAGCTTCCATTTGACTTTTTGAATGAGAATGAATAATGTGGATATTTGACCATTTACAATGACAAATGATCTGCAAACATTATTGGTCCCGTATCTTTCAGTTGCCTGGTTAATAACGAATTAACTTTCTCCACGACGCAACCTGGATTACATTTGTGGAATATACTCTTATACCAATGGAAAAGTATCTATTTGTAATACAACGTCACGATTGTAGCTTATAACATAACTGATCGTATCTGTAAAATAGCTTCCTTATTACCCAATTTGGATATAAATCAAATCAAAAATAAGATTCGGATTTGTACACACCCAAGTTATATTGAGGAATTACTTCAAGCTTTATTTTTTCCCAAGTATTTTTAATCCATCCAAAACTTACTTGGGTTTTTTTGTTAATGCGAAGTTAATATTCCTATATTTCATGACGTGCTCCATTGAATGACTGGTTATCATATTGTTCCCACAGACCTAAGACAAAAACGCCAGCAACCATGTAACTTAACCATAAACCGAATTTATGAAATTTAAATAATGCTTATCCATGCCTGTATATTTGGTGTGTCCTACACAAGTAGGAAAAAATGTGTATTTTATTAAAACATTATTATTAATTATGATTGCTAATCGTATATGTAATTTATCATATTGATGATGCCTGTAAACTGGCGTCTCTCATGTACAAAATGAGAATATACTATTATTATTATTCTGCTTCTAACTCTGTCCGTTGGAACTGGAGCTCGTAGACGTAGATATTTAGGAATGATTTCATTTTTTAAGCATCGAATGTTAAAAATACAATGATTTTCATATCTTGCTTCAGTTTGTGAAAGTCGAGTGAGTTTATTGATAAGTCTTCGTACAGGAAGACCATAAGTCATGTTAATATATGTGTAAAACTAGGGCACTGTGGTATTAAGTAATTCCATATTAGTTTGATTATTAAATGTATCACACAGTGAAACAGTATTGTATACTGGATGACGTTTCGAACACAATTTATTGTTCATAATCATATCAATTTTTGTCACACGACTTCGAGATTTGATTTTTATAGTTTTCTCTGTCTTCTCCTATTTGTTGTATGGGCAGTAGAATTTTCCATATATCTGGGACAGGTGTTGAATCATTCCTATTACACGTATTTGTAGTTGATTCGATAAACAAAGCTTCTGTTATCAATCTCTCCCTATACCCTGTGACATTAGATTTTAAAACTGTCATCCTATCCCATCCTATTGTATGGTTGTGTGTAACTGCATATAGTGCTATAGCTGAACTACTCTCTAGATTTCTTATCTTATTCGGGTCAACCAATCTAGATTTAGCTAGGTTTTTATGTTCGGCTAGTCTGACTGCCCCTGTTCTACTAGTTTGACCTATGTATTTGACCTCACAATCATTGCAGGGTATTAGATAAACTAAATTGTTTTGTTTTAATGGCTCCACAGGATCCTTTAACCAACAAAGCTTGTTTCTAATTGAGTTTGTGGGTTTGAATGCCACTTTTATTCCTGCCTTGTTAAGATTTCTGAGTAAGTCTTTTAAAAGGCTTTTAAATCTAATGTCACAGGGTATAGGGAGAGATTGATAACAGAAGCTTTGTTTATCGAATCAACTACAAATACGTGTAGTAGGAATGATTCAACACCTGTCCCAGATATATGGAAAATTCTACTGCCCATACAACAAATAGGAGAAGACAGAGAAAACTATAAAAATCAAATCTCGAAGTCGTGTGACAAAAATTGATATGATTATGAACAATAAATTGTGTTCGAAACGTCATCCAGTATACAATACTGTTTCACTGTGTGATACATTTAACAATCAAACTAATATGGAATTACTGGACACTGACAGATTCTGAGAGTTGGCTGACAGACAGCTTTAATGTTGTTTAATCAACCAGTTGTCAGTGACGTCTCGAAAACCGCTAATGCCCAGCTCTTGCTATGCCGGGCCTCTCGCTGTCCCTCAAGCCTTTCAGAAACGCCTAGTACTAACGGAAGCGAAAACCAGAACACCGATTGGCGACTCGAGAATTCTTTATTCTAACACCGACATATAAGCAGCATAATAGACCAAGTTTTCGGACGGTTTTTCTACGTTCTTTCTGAACAGCGACCGATGAGACTGGTGTATTGATGCCTCCGCGAAAATATAGAAAAGTTGGGCTTGAGCAAACAACCATGAATTCATCATTCAATCTTCAACTACATTGACACTCCCCGGGAAAATACCGATCCATCCATTTTTCCATAACGACCAATGCACGTTGACTTGGATGCCATTGCGAGAACCTGGGTCACACGGACAGAGCTGAAATGGAAAACAAACCGAAAAGCCAACACACCACAGGCATACCCACAGCACAATCTTACACATCGATGACGACCTACGCCTTCGAATTAAAGGCATCCTCTTAATATCTTTTAACACAATCGCCTCTTGCCAGAATTACTCCTGCAGAGAGCAACGTGACCATAGCACCACCTCATTATACTCTTTGCATATCCTCTTATCTACCCACTACCAATTACCATTGCAATCGCTTGTTACTCATTCTGCCTCAATTCTAGTAACGGTGAAGTATGCAAACCTCAGTCGTATACACTCTCGCTCCCCGGCGTGTGGGACCACAGCTAATCATTATTTCTGTGTACCTGTCGTTCTCAACAATAGCCTCCCCGGCCTATACGACCCATCTGCTGTCTTTAACATCAATCAATTCATTCACGGATGTAGAAGACTAGAAACAACTTCAGAAGTAAGCACGACGAAAATTTTACCAAAATTATGCAATACCAACAAGATATAAAGACAACAAGTAAACACACTTTATTTAAACACAAATTGATATGACACACCACACGTATATACAAATAGCACAAATAACCTCGAAGATCATGTCTCGATGTAATCCCTTTGAAGAATTGCAGGGCACAAGAGACAAACAAAATTACAGATTATAAAAGGAGGGTGGGTTAGACATAATTACACAATCAGATGAGAGATGCAAAGTGACTAATAAGTTAGGTAACAATGTACTGAGTTGAACTCAAATCATAGAAACAGGAGACAAGCAAAATTAAAAAGAGGGTGAGGTTAAATAAAGACAAAGATTACGCAATCAGATGGGAAAAAAAGACATCCAGTTACCAAGGCAAGGAAAGACTAATAACTGATTCTTTCTGAACACATAGATCTGGTTTCAAGCGTTTTATAGAAATTGCTTCGGCAAACTTGAGGAGAATGGAGCTCCTTTCTCTATTGATAATTTTGAAGGATTTCTCGATTTCCACCTCATGACCCGTGTCGAGGAGATGTCTGGTAATAGCGCTGAACATGTGCCGAAAAGCCCACGTCTCAAGGGAACAAATTCTTATAGCAGCGCTATTACCAGACATCTCTCGACACGGGTCATGAGGTGGAAATCGAGAAATCCTTCAAAATTATCAATAGACAAAGGAGCTCCATTCTCCTCAAGTTTGCCGAAGCAATTTCTATAAACGCTTGAAACCAGATCTATGTGTTCAGAAAGAATCAGTTATTAGTCTTTCCTTGCCTTGGTAACTGGATGTCTTTTTTCTCCCATCTGATTGCGTAATCTTTGTCTTTATTTAACCTCACCCTCTTTTATAATTTTGCTTGTCTCTGTTTCTATGATTTGAGTTCAACTCA